AGAATAAGATGTTGGCATTTCTTATGTCATCAGCAAAAATGGTTTGGCCCATTCCGAAGTGCTTAATTGCTAGGTGCAAAATCACTACCACTTTCTTTGCCTGATGGGCAGTCTATTTCTGAGTAGAGTCATGAATTGTGGATGTTAGCTTTGGCCACTATCTTTCATAGTCCTGTTGCTAATTCACCCATGTGCAATCATTCTTTGTGGGTTATTATATTTGCCCCTGTTCACCCACATTACACAGCAGCCTAGGAAATGCTCTTAGTGGTGAGAATCCCAAAGCAGAGAGACCATCACTGCCAGCTGGTCTAAAACTTCTCCTAGCTAATATTTATTGATCACATATTATGTGCCAGACACTGTATTGAGTGACAGAATTATTTCCATCCGTGATACCTCCTGTTTTTATCTTCTTATTGATCAGTTAATTCTCCTTTCCAGTATCTTTGTTTTTACTGTCAGTCAATCTTGGAACTGACTTGGCTGTTCTGAAGCCTATGGATGGCTATGTAAATTGCATTTCCTTTAAATCATGTTTTGCTGTTTGAATATGTTCTTTTTTTCTCTGTTTCCCATTAAGGATACGTACGTGACATATTTTCTATGTGGTTTCTGTCTTTTTGCTTCTTATTCACATTAAATTTGTGCTCTGTCAGTGGGTGGCTCCCAAGATTAGTTATGTCATCTCGCAGCACTGGACTGGGTCATTAGGTCCAGAATTGGGGCTGAAAGGTAGAAAAACTGAAGCAAGGGAAAGAAACAGACTCTTTCTACATACAGGCTTCTGAAGCTGGAAGGACAGTAGTTACAGAAACATCAAAACTCGTTTTGTTTTGGTTTTCACTCTTTTTCAGAAGGCAATTATAATTGTGATTTTTTCCTAATTTTCTACATACAGGCTTCTGAAGCTGGAAGGACAGTAGTTACAGAAACATCAAAACTCATTTTGTTTTGGTTTTCACTCTTTTTCAGAAGGCAATTATAATTGTGATTTTTTCCTAATTTTGTATTTTTTGTGACTTATTTTGTTTAGAAGTTAACATATGAAGAAAGAATGGCTCGTCGACTACTAGGTGCTGACAGTGCAACTGTCTTTAATATTCAAGAGCCTGAAGAGGAAACGGCTAATCAGGTACTACGTTGCTCTGGACTTCTTAGAAGAATAACAGTTATCCTGTTCCCTCTCTCCATACTCTTTACGGACACCTTAGGATCAATTTTGTGGAAAGTAGAGGGCAAGTCACAGAAAAACAATATTAATATCATCAATCAACGTCATAGCTAATATTTATTAAGTATATACTGTGTGCTAGACACTGTGTCAAGTGATTGATAGAATTATTTCCATACCTGTTCTTATCTTCTTATTGAATAGTTTATTCTTCTTTCTAGTATATTTCTGTTTTTCCGGTCCTGTGCTTTACTGAAAAATAGTTTTGCATGGACAAACACATTTTCTTATTTAAAATAGCTAGCGAATATTTCTCATTATATTTTTACTATCTAGTCAAAGTAAGATATCTGTGTGCAGAAAAGACTATGTCTTTATCTTCCTTCATATATACAGTTATACACTCATTAGCAGAAGACCTAAAATGCTATGTTTTGTTCTTCTGTAACCACCAAAAAAAAGATACTTCATAGATTTGATGTAAGCTACTTTGACTCTGTAATGCTTCTGTTTGGAGTTTCCAGATGTAGTCTCAAGCTAAAAGAAAGCTTTTAAAGCAAGTTTAAAGAATCAAATTCTTTCTCATGTCTGTTGAGAAATGGATCACCCTTCAAAATCCGAAAGTTTTTCTGTGTTAAATATTACCACCACAAAAGTTTCACTTACGGAAAACTAGAAATCATGCTGCATTCTTACTATTTTGTTGTTAGTCTTCACTTCTTTTTTTCTACCATTACAGGAAATTGAGTCTCCTCCTGCTTCTGTAGGGCGTCCTCTGGATGGTCAAAAGGTTAAGCTTTCACCTTCCTTCTCTTTCTGGTTATTCACTGTGTCTGTTTTCTTCTGTTCTTTCTCTTTTACCTGTGTATCTGTCTTTACTGCCATATATTTATTATAAGTGCTACAGCCAGTATCTATTTTCATTTAATGTGAGATGAACAAAATTATTGCAATGTGATTTTTCTTGTCGTTTATTTACAAACTTGAATTTAATTCTGCCATTAGTGGATGCTGTGAACTTGAAATCATGAAAACTTTTTCATGTGTTATATACCTTTCTAGGGGAAAAAAGTGCTAATTCTTAAAGTGATTAAAGTGATAGTAATTAGACAAAACAACCTGTGGTGTATTTTTTGCACTTTCATTCATACCATCGTATTTCTTCATTCATACACCAACAATTTTTTAAATGTTGAGTAACTTATTTAAGAGAAAATCTAGTTAAAGTTATCTTTTATTTAGTATTAAATAGGGAATATATTATAATGGGCTGCCTTGTCTTCGTTGCACTTTGTACTCAAGAAGACTGCAGGATCCACCTTAACACAGTACGATGTTGATGGGTTCTTTGCTTTGCTTTTGTTTTTTTAACCAAAATTTTGACTAGGTTGCAGTCCTATTTTTCTTTCCAAAGAGGGTGAGTTCCTAATAGCTGCAGAGCTAAGGAGGGGTCCCTAAGAGGCAGGGGAATGTTCTGGGTGCCATTTTTCCCATTATTTGTTTGTTGAAATTCTGTGTAATACTGCAGCTGCTTGCCACTTGTCCTGTTCGCCTTTTGAAAGGAGGCACCAGCCTGCATCAGCTTTCTGCCTACAGAGCAAATCAGTGTTTCTCTGTGTTTTGTTTTTATGAACGGTTTAGGAACACATAGCTTTTGCTTTTGCCTTTTTCTTTCCCTCTCTCTCCCCTTGTTTGCCCCAGCTCGAAAGAGAAAAGAGACAAAAAACTCTTCTTAGGTTTTCTTTTTTTTGAAGGGAAGGAAAAGATGACTGGACTTGAAGACAATTTGAATTATCATATATGCTCACTTCCAGATTTTTTTTGTTTTATATGGAATTGAATTGGATTCAGAGTATGCTTTTAAGCTCTATAGTAAAAATACCACTGTCTTCTCAGTGCCATGTTGGAACTCACTTCCAGATTTTTTTTGTTTTATATGGAATTGAATTGGGTTCAGAGTATGCTTTTAAGCTCTATAGTAAAAATACCACTGTCTTCTCAGTGCCATGTTGGAGAGGGGGACAAGACTAGTGAGACACATTGTAGTACCACAAGGGCTTGAGGTTGCCAACTTGAACTTTCTTTGTTTTGTATAGGAGTACAAAATCTCCAGCTGTGAACAGAGACTCATCAGTGAAATAGAGTACAGACTAGAAAGGTCTCCTGTGGACGAATCAGGTGACGAAGTTCAGTATGGGGATGTGCCTGTGGAAAATGGAGTGGCACCGTTCTTTGAGATGAAGTTGAAACATTACAAGATCTTTGAGGGAATGCCTGTGACTTTCGCATGTAGAGTGGCTGGAAATCCAAAGCCAAAGGTGAGCTGAAAACATGGCTTTTTAAGAGCCATATTTTCTGAGGAAGAGTTTAGTTTCTAAAATACAGCATGTATGATAGGAGGAAGAGATACAGACTACCTTTCTCAGTACCCACGGTGTAAAATGTCTTAAGTACTCTTAAGTTTAGGGCCATCTTCAGGAGGCATTAGAAACCAAAAAGGGTAGAGAGTCGGGGGAGTGGAGTTTGGGTTTGAAGAATAGAATAGAACAGAATAAATAGGAGCCCGCACCCCCCCACCCCCTGCCACCAATAACAACAATTGAATAATTAACAAGGAGCTTCTCACACACCCACATCATTTTCTCCTGAGTGTTATTCCCAAATTGCAAATGACTGCCCTGAGTTCTGTGAGATAAATTAACTTTCCCAAGGTCAGAGAGCTGGCGAGGGGCCAGGCTTGGATATGAACCCAGATACCTTTCTAGGGGAAAAAAGTGCTAATTCTTAAAGTGATTAAAGTGATAGTAATTAGACAAAACAACCTGTGGTGTATTTTTTGCACTTTCATTCATACCATCGTATTTCTTCATTCATACACCAACAATTTTTTAAATGTTGAGTAACTTATTTAAGAGAAAATCTAGTTAAAGTTATCTTTTATTTAGTATTAAATAGGGAATATATTATAATGGGCTGCCTTGTCTTCGTTGCACTTTGTACTCAAGAAGACTGCAGGATCCACCTTAACACAGTACGATGTTGATGGGTTCTTTGCTTTGCTTTTGTTTTTTTAACCAAAATTTTGACTAGGTTGCAGTCCTATTTTTCTTTCCAAAGAGGGTGAGTTCCTAATAGCTGCAGAGCTAAGGAGGGGTCCCTAAGAGGCAGGGGAATGTTCTGGGTGCCATTTTTCCCATTATTTGTTTGTTGAAATTCTGTGTAATACTGCAGCTGCTTGCCACTTGTCCTGTTCGCCTTTTGAAAGGAGGCACCAGCCTGCATCAGCTTTCTGCCTACAGAGCAAATCAGTGTTTCTCTGTGTTTTGTTTTTATGAACTTTTTAGGAACACATAGCTTTTGCTTTTGCCTTTTTCTTTCCCTCTCTCTCCCCTTGTTTGCCCCAGCTCGAAAGAGAAAAGAGACAAAAAACTCTTCTTAGGTTTTCTTTTTTTTGAAGGGAAGGAAAAGATGACTGGACTTGAAGACAATTTGAATTATCATATATACTCACTTCCAGATTTTTTTTGTTTTATATGGAATTGAATTGGGTTCAGAGTATGCTTTTAAGCTCTATAGTAAAAATACCACTGTCTTCTCAGTGCCATGTTGGAGAGGGGGACAAGACTAGTGAGACACATTGTAGTACCACAAGGGCTTGAGGTTGCCAACTTGAACTTTCTTTGTTTTGTATAGGAGTACAAAATCTCCAGCTGTGAACAGAGACTCATCAGTGAAATAGAGTACAGACTAGAAAGGTCTCCTGTGGACGAATCAGGTGACGAAGTTCAGTATGGGGATGTGCCTGTGGAAAATGGAGTGGCACCGTTCTTTGAGATGAAGTTGAAACATTACAAGATCTTTGAGGGAATGCCTGTGACTTTCGCATGTAGAGTGGCTGGAAATCCAAAGCCAAAGGTGAGCTGAAAACATGGCTTTTTAAGAGCCATATTTTCTGAGGAAGAGTTTAGTTTCTAAAATACAGCATGTATGATAGGAGGAAGAGATACAGACTACCTTTCTCAGTACCCACGGTATAAAATGTCTTAAGTACTCTTAAGTTTAGGGCCATCTTCAGGAGGCATTAGAAACCAAAAAGGGTAGAGAGTCGGGGGAGTGGAGTTTGGGTTTGAAGAATAGAATAGAACAGAATAAATAGGAGCCCGCACCCCCCCACCCCCTGCCACCAATAACAACAATTGAATAATTAACAAGGAGCTTCTCACACACCCACATCATTTTCTCCTGAGTGTTATTCCCAAATTGCAAATGACTGCCCTGAGTTCTGTGAGATAAATTAACTTTCCCAAGGTCAGAGAGCTGGCGAGGGGCCAGGCTTGGATATGAACCCAGATACCTTTCTAGGGGAAAAAAGTGCTAATTCTTAAAGTGATTAAAGTGATAGTAATTAGACAAAACAACCTGTGGTGTATTTTTTGCACTTTCATTCATACCATCGTATTTCTTCATTCATACACCAACAATTTTTTAAATGTTGAGTAACTTATTTAAGAGAAAATCTAGTTAAAGTTATCTTTTATTTAGTATTAAATAGGGAATATATTATAATGGGCTGCCTTGTCTTCGTTGCACTTTGTACTCAAGAAGACTGCAGGATCCACCTTAACACAGTACGATGTTGATGGGTTCTTTGCTTTGCTTTTGTTTTTTTAACCAAAATTTTGACTAGGTTGCAGTCCTATTTTTCTTTCCAAAGAGGGTGAGTTCCTAATAGCTGCAGAGCTAAGGAGGGGTCCCTAAGAGGCAGGGGAATGTTCTGGGTGCCATTTTTCCCATTATTTGTTTGTTGAAATTCTGTGTAATACTGCAGCTGCTTGCCACTTGTCCTGTTCGCCTTTTGAAAGGAGGCACCAGCCTGCATCAGCTTTCTGCCTACAGAGCAAATCAGTGTTTCTCTGTGTTTTGTTTTTATGAACTTTTTAGGAACACATAGCTTTTGCTTTTGCCTTTTTCTTTCCCTCTCTCTCCCCTTGTTTGCCCCAGCTCGAAAGAGAAAAGAGACAAAAAACTCTTCTTAGGTTTTCTTTTTTTTGAAGGGAAGGAAAAGATGACTGGACTTGAAGACAATTTGAATTATCATATATACTCACTTCCAGATTTTTTTTGTTTTATATGGAATTGAATTGGGTTCAGAGTATGCTTTTAAGCTCTATAGTAAAAATACCACTGTCTTCTCAGTGCCATGTTGGAGAGGGGGACAAGACTAGTGAGACACATTGTAGTACCACAAGGGCTTGAGGTTGCCAACTCATCTTTTTAAATTCTCTGATCTATTTATATCATTTCATATTTCATTATTTCTTTCGAAGAAAATATTAAGTGTTAGAAAAGGATATAAATAATTTTAATGAAGCTTACAAAGTTTTATGTTTGTACAAGGTTTAACTTATTCTAATATTCCATTGTCATATAAAGATATTTTTCTGCAGTAATATCAGGATTAGAATGAAACTGGAATTATGCAGCTAATCAGGTTTTGATAGAGCACAGCAAACTCTTCATTGTCAATGAAGTTTCCATATTAATGCACCTTCTTGAGGTTCTAATTTTTTAATCATGACCATCACCATGAAAAATAGTTAAAATCACAACCTCTACTGAAAAGTTGCACTTTAATGCTTATTTGTGTTCATGTTTGATGTATTTGGGGGAACAAAAGTGAAACTTGCTTTTTTTAATTGTATTTTCAGTAGATATGGTACTTTTAGTATTTTTTTTCTTATATTTTCCTTGACTCTTAACAAATTTCAAATTTCAGTTTTCTGCTAGAAAAATGGTGGAGAACTCAACGAAATCCAAAATGTTTCTTTATGTTGTATCCCTTATTCCTCTTTTTCCCTAGAAAGGCTGGGATATATTACAGGGAAAGAATTATCTGTGTTCCTTAAGCACTTGCTAGTGTTGGATCCTGACATTAATTTCAAGACATTTTTCCTAGCATGTTTTAAGTTTTTATTGGAGTAAGCCATTTTATAGAACAAAAGAACATAAATGTAAAACTGTAATTATGAGCCTGCTTCTAGTCTTCTTCACATTATACTAATGTATTTTTACATGAGGATTAGTTCTAAATGGGTAAGGACTCAGTGCTCATGTCCTGTGGCAGTATGCAAAGTTTGAGACAAGGGTCCAGCCTCAAGGGTTAGTAGTCTTTGATCATTTAAACTCTTTTGACAAACTGTTATGAAATCACTAGATAAACAGGGACCACTGAAGTTCCCCTTTGGATTATTCCAAGTCGTATACATACTCATATATCACAACATCACATTGTACTCCATACATATATACAAGTATAATTTGTCAATTAAAATAAATAAATATTAAAAAATATAAATATAATCTACCTAAAGCCCTGTATATAAAGCCCCCTCAAAAAACAAACAAAACCCATGTAAGGAGAAGGAGAAAGGGAAAGAAATCAAAAGAAAGAAATGGCACAACAAAGACAGACCAGGATTGTGGGGTAACACTGATGATACTGAAATGCCTAGAACCAGGCAGACGGTGTAGTACAGGGGTTAAGAGCATGAGCTTTGGCCTTAGGCAGATCTGAGCTGCAGTTCTACTTCTGCCACTCGTTGTCTAAATGAGCTTTCGCAAGTTACTTAACCTCTTTCTCATTCCTCTTTCCTCTTCTGTAAAATGAGAATGATAATACAGATTAAAGCAGTACATGTAAAAAGCAATTCAGTTTACCTGGCACATGATATGCTTTCAGTGAATGCTAGTTATTGTTACTATTTGAATTCAGGGACGCTAATTACCCCATCCTAGAGCAGCAGTCCTGGGACTTGGCAGAAGCCTGTGGAACCAGGATGTAAAGGATCAGTTCTGTTCCTAGGTATTCCGCTCCCACGGTATCGTGAAAGAGTAAGCAAGTCAGTTTGGGATGGAACGTCTGCCCAACGTGTTGCTGGTGTGTGGTCTTCTGACTTCCTGCCTTTTCCTTTTTATCACCCCCATGGGAAAGGAGTTAGGCAGCAGATGTGGCCGTGCCACAACTGCCACAGCTGTGGGCCTGGGTGGAGGAGCCATGAGCCAGAGAATGGGCCACACCCACAGCACAGCTGACACCAGCCACACATGAAGCTGGGAAGCTGCTCTGTGCTCTCTGTTCTCAGCACCCTCAGAGCCAAGAGAAGGCCCAGAAGAGAGTGGTCACTGACCTCATTCTGGCCCCAGTAATTCCACTGCTTTACCAGATCCCAGGCTAAGCCCCATGGTGTACCCACTCTGGGTCTTTGCCTCTGTCCTTTGGAGAGAAGACAAAGAAATGAGAAGTGGACCAGTTTACATCAGGTAGCCAAAAGCCCAGACCTCCTAAAAGAATATCCCATCCCACCTGTGATTTAGGCAGCAGGTAATATGCCTGCTCTGGTCTATCAGTGGGAGCAACAGATTCAAAAATAGTAACTGGACCAGTTCCTAATACCTAGAATTCCGACTGTCTCTAACGGTTAGTTGGTGCACTCAATATTTTAATTAAGGCAGGGCTAAGATTCTCCTTTTCTACCTAAATAACCAAAGACAGGTAAAAGGAGGGGAAAGTCAAGAAGAGAGCTTGAGGACATTCTAAAAGTATACTTTTAGGCCTCAAACAGAATATATCTATATCTATATATTCCATTGAAATTGCTGTGAGAGAAATTATGATATTTATGCCACTTGGCAGTAGTTGTTGTTCCTAGTTTCTGAACATGTTGCCTGGTTTATTCTAATTCCAAAAGAAAACTCCTTCTTTTCTATCCTGGGGTCTTCAGTAGCAAGTACATCCAGTTATGCCAGATGTAGGTTTTGTGAGTCATCACCTAGAAACTGGAATGAACTTTACCACTCATTAGAAAAACAAAGTGGTACTTAAACCATGACAAGTGGAAGACAGTTTTCTACCTGACCCTTGGCATAAGTTACCATTTGTTGGTGTAGGAAAGCCATTAAAGAAATGATCAATATTGTCGTAATCTCAACTTTATAACATCTATTATTGAATACTAAAGTATTTTGTTATTCTCGTAATTTGTGAATTTAAAACATGATTTACAGGAGGCATGTCTTAAGTAGGCACTGAAAGAAAATTTCAAAAGTAAAAGCTAAATGTTTCAAGATATATTAATCCCAAAAGTATAAAGTGTAGTCAATAGAAAACTGAAGCTGAATCCTTATTTTCTTGATGCCCTTTAGTTACCTTAAATTCTTTTGAAATTTTAAAAGTATTTTTAAAGGGAGACAACTGTTTTTTTCTAGTCACCGTAGCCTACATGATGTGAAATGACCAAGAGAAAAAGAAACAGGCTGGAGTGGAAAAATTAGTTCAGTAATGAAACACAGACAGCAGAGCTTTCCTGAGCAATGGAAAATAATTACAGAAGGCAGCCAAGAGAAGGGTGAGAACTAAGGAAAGAGGGAAATACTAAAGTTCAGCAGAATATTTTATAGAATATGATATTTTTTCCACCTGGGTTAGTCTTTTGGGAATAAGAAACACGTTAGATGTTATTGCTACATCCAGATTCTACGTGAGATAGAACACACAGCTCTAAACATAGACTGGACTGCGTATCATGCCCAACCTGTGCAGCTCAAGCAATTCATGAGAGACCAAAGCAATCTCATAGCTGAGCAAAATAATGAGTAATACTGCAGCATTGCACCAACATCGTGCTAAAGTGAGGATCACAAATACAGTTTATTTTAGACTCTAATCCTATCTTTAAGACACAACCAAATCTAAACATGAATGTTTTACTTTGTTTTGCTGTGTTGCTAAGTTACTTTGTATTGCACTTGAATTTTGGAATGGCTGTTTTGCAGTTTGATGTTTTCTCAAATTACATTATGTATACAAGTGGCAAGCTTTTATAAAGACCTGTGTGCCACAAGTTAAATTTCGTAAACTATGAAATAAAAATGTTATTTCCATGTTATATAAATAGCTGGCCTTGTACATGGCATTAAATAATCTTTACAAGCTGGATGTTTAATATAGAATCACTTTAAGAATTCAGACTTCTTTGTACTATAGATTTAAACTCTGTGGATCCATTTGGAATAGAAAAGTAACACAGCTGAGTTAAATATGAAAAGTTTTTTGATTGTGTTTCATTTTAGCAGTATAAGGTTTGCTGGCTCATTTCGAGCTTCACGTTAAGCATTCACTTCCATCATTACTTCATGTGTTAATGAAATGCGATAGCATCAGCGCACTTCAGAGCCTCCTACTTACGATGAGGACTAGTGTTACAGGCATATTAGCATTATTAAAATCACTTAGCACTAATTCTTTATGATCTTTCTCATAAATAAGACATTCAGGGTCAGCCCGTGGCTCACTCGGGAGAGTGCGGTGCTGATAACACCAAGGCCGCAGGTTCAGATCCTATATAGGGATGGCCGGTTAGCTCACTGGCTGAGCGTGGTGCTGACAACACCAAGCTAAGGGTTAAGATCCCCTTACTGGTCACCTTTTAAAAAAAAAAAAAAAAAAAAAAGATCAGACCTAAAAATCTTAACTTTCTCTTGTGCACATTGGAAGCATCTTTTTTTAAAAAATGCTTCATTGAATTCTGGATTTTTTTTCAAATAAAAATGTCAAAAGTATACAACTTCTTAGTTTAGACACTTTCTAAATGCTCCTGGTCATGTATTGGTTAGTAATGTATTTAGTCAATAACACTATATTAATCAAATGAATAATTCTGCCTCCTGAAGACCACATCTTCCCCCTTCATGTTCAGAAGTGAAGGTTGCTGTAGAAGTAGGAAGGTGACCAATGATAACATATTCCTTTTTCTTAAATTTGAGAAGTTAAGGAAGTATTCTATGGCAATGTCTGTGTGTATGGTTCTAAGCAGTAGCAGTGAAAACCCTGAAAACAGTGTAGAAATGTGTAATCTTTCCAGAGTAGTATGCCAACCTGTTTACCCTGTGGTTTGGGGGGGGTTTGGGGGAGGGAGTGGGGAAGAGGAGGCGGGGTTGATCCTAAGCGTAGGCAAATGGTATGGTTAGAGTTGAGTAGGGCATCTCTCATCTTACCCCTCAAATGCAGCTGCCACATCAAGCGCATTGAATATGGCTGTGTGTTTGCACCTTTCCAGCACTAGCAGAAGCTAAAAAGCTTGATCTGCTTTTCACATATTCAGCCTCCCATGCTAAACGTATTGTTTTTCCTTTGGAGTAAATTACATTCTAATACCAAGAAAAAGAAAACTTCATTACACATATGCAAAAAAAAACCTCGTGTTAAACAAAACAATTCTAAGGGATGCCTCACATTCATCAGGTTATTATATCCATATTGAGTCCTATAATAATTTAACATATTGAGCACTTATTATATGCAAAACACAATATCAAGTACTTTACACCCATTAACATATTTAATCCTCATAAAAACCTATAAGATATTAACTATAGGTCCTATTTTACAGATGAAACTTACTTAGAAAGGTTAAGCTACCTGCCTCAAGTCATTCAACTATAAGGAACCGAATTGGTGTACAAACCCAGGCAATTCAATTCCAGAGCTACAGAGCAGCATACGAAGGTGTCTGAGGCTCACCCCAATATTAAAAGCACTGAGGGGCAGGGGAGACGTTGGTTAAAAGAGGTTTTGAAGGAATGAAAAAAAGAGATAAGAGCATACCTCAAGTACAGAATATTCAGTTGTATATTTTTATTGGGATCAGCCAAGCTTCTGGGGCCCCTTAAAGTCATCTTGATGCATATCTGTGAACACGTACTCATAACGTCTCAGACCCGCAGCAACACAGTAGCAGCTATGATGCATTTAATACTGATAATTTATGTCATCAGGCACCGTTTGATATTCATAAGACCATCTTAGGTTATACCATTTTAAGCCTTACAGCATCCTTGGGAAATATATAGCATCCCTATTTTTACAGAAGAAGAAACAAAGGGTTGAATAAATCTAGTGCTTTGGCCAAAGTTTTAGAAAAAGTCAAAATTCAAATCCAGATTACAGGACTTTTTTTAACAACCCACATCTGCTTGCCCAAATTCAAGGTTAGAGTTTAAATTTCATTTATATTATATCTTTTTCTAACATAAATGATTAGTTAATATTATCTCTCTTGTGGATTCTCTGTGTTTCATACCACAAGGAAGCATATATCCAAATTATGTGCATTCGATCCCTGAAGCAGCAAAACAAATAATAAGGAAGACATATCTCATATCAGTATAATTGAAGCTATTTGTGTAAAACAAAACACACACTTCCTTGTCCTCAAGCTCCAAAAAGAATCATGGATTTTATGTGTTCACTTGTCAAAGCATCTAGTAGGATGCGTCAGTTGTGCACCTTATAATGGGGGTCATCTAAGCAAGTCATATCTAGATGTTCTATAGCAGATATAGATTTGGAGGGGTTAGATAAAATTAATTTTAGATTTCAAGCTAGTTTAAGGAATCCCAGGTGTTTGCCAAGAGCACAGCATAAGAGAATCTGTGTCATGTGGCCTGAGCTTCAGATACAATTAATCTGCTAGAAGCAATTCTTCTGCATAGTGGTATACTTCATCTGTCCTTGGAAGTTTTCAGGAAAGGCAGTGTTTAACTGTGAGCTCGATAGCAAATATTGTGAATGCTAGAAGGAGTCTCATATCTAGAGGTATAAGATTAGTTAAGTTTGTTTCTTTGGGACCACCTCCTTCTTTTTTTTTTTTTTTTTTCGTGACCGGCAACGGATCGCAACCCTCAGTGTCGCGCCCGTACTGGACCGGGACCGGCAACGGGATGGCAACCCTTGGCGCTGCCCCCGCTCCTCACTCAGCCAGTGAGCCGCCGGTCTGCACGTGGGATCTGAACCCTCGGCGGGAGCGCCGCCACACCTCCCAAGCGGTGCACTGTAGCAGTGCGCCACCGGGCCGGCCCCCAAGGGACCACCTCCTTCTTTTTTTTTTTTTTTTTTTTTCGTGACCGGCAACGGATCGCAACCCTCAGTGTCGCGCCCGTACTGGACCGGGACCGGCAACGGGATGGCAACCCTTGGCGCTGCCCCCGCTCCTCACTCAGCCAGTGAGCCGCCGGTCTGCACGTGGGATCCGAACCCTCGGCGGGGGCGCCGCCACACCTCCCAAGCGGTGCACTGTAGCAGTGCGCCACCGGGCCGGCCCCCAAGGGACCACCTCCTTCTATTTGGTCATTCCTAATTCTTCTCCCATCTCTGTTACATTCCTATACATCTTTGCT